GATGACTTCTTGATGCACATCAATTAGCTTGGAGTGACAATTTTACCTATTCCTTTAACATCTTAATCGTGGGACTCTTTAAGAACGTTCAGAAGCTATGAAAAGCTCTGAGAAGTTTGGATCCCACATGTTGTTTTGGGGTCAATTTACATTTAAAATGAATCACTATTTTTTAATATCTTATAAAAGATCATATTGTATAAGTACATCATATTGCTTCAAGTGTAAGCTTCTACTTTATTAATAAATATTATGGTTTTCAGAGAAAGATGGGTGAACTGATAGCATCCACATCCCAGTATTTCACCTTAAGAATATATATAAATGCTTTAAGTTAAGCTGTTTCATTCTGGTCCTAGCATGACCTAACTTCTCCAAGCATTTCTAGTCACAATTTTGTCTAAAGCAAATAAATCAGGTTATATAATTTTCTACAAATAGCTTGAAACTCTAGCAGAAAACTCCACATCACGGATTTTAGTCACATATGGAAAAGACAAATGGCAATCTTCCCTCTTCCCTACACTCTCCCCAGTTTGAAGCAGGGCTACATTCTTCCATCCCCTAATCACATGAAATTTAGTTCTCTCCCCTGCCCCCACTGAATCTTTTACACCCAATTCAGCTGTACACTTCATGTATTTTCAAAAGACGGGGATTTTCTAACATGGCAGATGTGTCTGCAAACACAGTAGGAATCGGAGATGATCAGGTGTTTGTAGTGCTAGAAAGAAATATACTATTGTCAGCATAACTATTGTCAAAAAGAAGAAATTCCGTGAGGGGAAGTTCCTGAAGAACAACTTGCAAAAATTTTGGACATTTATGTATAATTTTGAAAGGGCATTTTTGTACATGCTTTCAAAGTTTGTTTTTTATAAATGCCTGGGCATTTGAGCTAGAACTAGCCAAGGCAAAGACTGGCATTCAAACTCTGCAGCTACCTCTACAAATGTTAGCTTGAATTCAAGCACTTTCCTCAACTTTATTTACCCAACAGAGAAGCAGTTTGTGAAGCAAGCTTCCACTGTAATTTCACTATCAATCTGTCAAACTGAAAATCTTCCTGTTATTTGGATTTCCAAAAACCTTGGGGGTGGGAGGAGCACCTCTCTGCAGGAGGGGGTAAAAAATTGAACACAAAACTTGTGGTTGCATCTAAGAAACATGTAACACAGCACAGACAGAAAATTATGTCTTCAAGTCATGCAAACGGTTGCTCTTCCTTGAACACTTAAGAGTTATCCACTCTTTTATTATACAATCTTTCTTGAAGCTATGTTTCTTCTTCTTAGGTCACATTCAGAGTTTACTTGTGATCCTACAAAACCCACTACTGCACACTGCTTTATAAACTAGAATACGCCATCTACTGGCAATTTAGTAAATTGGAAGTTCTTCCATCACTACTTTAAACATTCTAAAAATTTTACTTGTGTTCAATTTAAATGCAAAACTAAAGGAACGGACTCCAGCTAAATCCTGCAGATTGCATTCCAGCACTTGGCATATAAATATTATGAGTAAGTTACAAGATATTTACAATAAATCAGAAAGCTAGTGCTATACTGTAGGTCTGTTCAGCACAACTTTCTGAGCCCTAATCAAAATGGTTTTCCTTTTTCTCTGTTGTTATTTTCTTATTTTATGAGAGGGAATAAAACATCCCCATGCCCTATTCTGAGGATTCTAGAAAAATTCAGCTGCAGCTACCTGATTGAACTTAAAGAAAGAACTGTTCAAAAGATTTTTTAATGGTGGGAGAGTTGAAACATATTTAACTCATATATTTTAAGAGTATAAGATCCATGTTTTAGCAACTCCATTATAACATATTCACTTTAACATATACATGTTTCTTAACACTGCAGTGTTAAGAACAGCTCAGTAACACAGCTCAACTTCAACATAAATGTACTTTTCAAAGTAGGTTTCCAAGCTTCCCCCCTCCTCCCTCAAGCATTAGAAGCAAAAGGATGAACTCACATGAACTTGTTGCTTAAAGCTTCTTATCTTGCTCCACCTTTCATCATGTGTCAGAATGTTTTCATGACATCATCATCCGTAATTACAGGCTGGCTTTGAAATCCAAAGAAACTAAATTTTCATACTTTTCATACTTAAATTTCTGACTCAGTATTTTTAACTAAATTTTCATACTTAAAAATACTGAGTCAGAAATTATGCTCTGTCAGTTGGCCTTTAAAACAGTGATACAAATAAGTGCTAGAATTACAAAATCACAGAATATTCTGAGTTGGAAGAGACCCACAAGGATAATCAAGTCTGACTCTTAAGTGAATGGCCAATATGGGGATCAAATCTACAGCCCTGATAATAACAGCATGCTCTAATATCCAGAATTCTTTTGGCACTAAAGAGTATCTCGTTCAGTTTTCCAACTTGAGTCTGTGAGGATACAAAGCACTTTGAACACCACCTCACAGTATAATTTGACATCTTGTCTTACTGCAAGAATTAATATTTTTCCAGAAACTGTCTACTCCTTCAATTTGCTGATATCTTGATTTGCAAATGCTGTTTTTGACGATATTTATTTTCTAAATTCAGGCATTTTCCAAATAGTTTGGTTTAAAAAATACCAAGACAGCTGTCTTTCCATTTTTCCTTTTTTGTTTTTACTGGTAGAGCAAAAATAACAAAAAAGTAAGGAAAAAAAAAATTTCTCTTGTGGAAGCTTGCTTAGCGTTTTTACTTGAAATAAAAACTTGAAGTAAAGAACTTCCAAGAACTTGAATTATTGTAGTGATATTTTGAAAAAGTCTGTGACTTTTTGAAGTATTCAACCAGTATTTAATTTCTCTCCTGGATCTCTGATGCAGCAGAGAACCAGGGTAGAAACTTATTGGTATACCCCAGCTCCACTCAAGATGGCACTACTGCACTGGCAGGCACTGACAGGTATTTAACAAGACTTCATCAGAGAGAATTGTGATTGATAAATTTGTGAGACTATAACATTCTTTCAAAGCAGGTTACCAAAGATACCATCCACTTCACCCGCCAAGCCCGTTGCAACCAAGCAAACCATTTTGGTCTGTCCAAATCTTTCCTCGAGGAGAAAGGAGTTTCAGAGTACAGTAGACCTCTGTAGTGCAGCCCTGGCAAACCTCTGTGTCACAGAGACCTGCTTTCTGTGGAGGGGTTAGCACCATGGGGCAGCAGATTTCAATAATACAGGAACAGCAAAGGGAGAGGTGGAGGAACAGAACTGTGACTTTTTGCTAGAAAAACAGTACAGGTTTCTGAAGAAAGGATCTAGGACTTAAGAAGGTGCATGGAGAATGGAGATTAGTTTCCATAGGGCATAAGAAACCACTGTGATTCTTGCCTGTGGAAGGGAGACTGGTTTGAGCTACATCAGACTTCAAACACTGGCAGGAGCCCACTTGCAGCAGGGGCTGCAGCTCTTGCCTCTCTTGGTCGGTACCACTTGTGGCTTGAATTATGTGATTTCACTGATATTGTAAATATTCATGGCACCACACTGGGGGATATAGCCTCTCCTGTTCTAATTCTCAGTCTGTCAGGTCATGGTATGGAGAGTTAAAAATCAGACAGCATCATATATTGCACAGTGCTGTTAGATTGTCAGCATTTCTGGAGGTAGGCAGTATTTCTCTAGTCCAGAAAGCAACAGGTATTGCTGCCATTAAAAAAGGGCCATGCAAAGTGATCAAGACATTTCAAAGTAACACAAATCTGGTATCCATTAGACAGGCAATCATGTCTCCCTTGTTCTTGTCATATTTTTTAAAATAATATTTAAATTATAAGGCCTATTTTCTCCACAAAGAGCTGGTCCAAAAATGATTGAACCTTGGAAATGCTGACTGTGATACCTAATTTTAAAAAAAAGAGTCAAGTGAAAACTGAAATAGTTATAATTTGAGCTGATGCAGATATTTATTAGGTAATTTATTTGTGATTTTTACATGACGAGGAAGAAAGAGGAACACAGAACTAGAACTAGAAGAAATATTTGAAAGAAAGAAAGTGTTCTTCCTCTTATCTTTATATGTAATGCACTTGGATGAATCAGTTTGAATTCTACCATAATGACTTGAATGTTAAACAATTCATTATTCTCATCAATTATATAATCCAGGTTGAGAAGGAAACATATTATGCTAGAGATAGCTTGCAGAACTAGTATCTGGAAAGTAGGCTGTATCTGTATCAGTCTGCCTGACTGATTTAATTGAAATTGAAAGATTATCTACAAAATTGAATTCCAAAATTTATCAATCAAAACAGTTAGTTTGAAAGAAACTGAAGAAATAAATTGAAGACCAATGTCCTGAATTTGTAGTATTTAGCAAGCCAATTTCCTTGTTTTACAGTATATTTACTTAAGTATGCCAGAAGTGTACTGACTGTAAACATAGATGACCATAAGACATTTTAACCCCATAATAACTAATTATTTAACTTGTAAGAGTAACTTTTCCTTTTACATTTTAGGAATGAATGTTCAGCAAAACAATCCAGACTTCTAATATTTTACATTAATGAAGAAAGATTATTGCAACCTTGTAGATTTTTACCTATTTTTTTGTTTTACTCTTTGACTTTTGAAAATAGAAACTGTGTGAAGGAAAATCCTAGCAGCTACACAGAACTAAGATAAGCCTGTAGCTTTGACACAGCATTTTTTGTTTGTTGTAGGGGAAGTCCCTATGTTACTGGTCTTCTTAGTTAACTTAAAGCATTTATCATAAACTAGAAGCTTCCACTTCATTCTGGGAATGTTTTTGCAGTCATTTTTTGTTCTTACTGAAAAGAAACTTCATAGCTTGGCTTACGATTGTTTTGTCTGGTTTTATGACTCTTTTGTAACTCATGTACACCACATAGTTGTGTAACTAAATTTGTCCTTTACATGTTTATTGCTAAACAATTTGAAGCTTCTTAAAATATGAGCTTCCTCTAAGTCATCTGTTTGGGCTCCTACCTGCCTTGAGACCTCTGTGCTTCCCTGTGCTTGTGGAGGTATGTCTCTGTTGGGCTGATATCCCATGGGAAGGGCCTGGAAACGACAGGGACATCACTCTTTGTCTGTCTGTCTGAGGCATGTGCAGAGGAGTTTTTATTGCATAACCTAATATCTACATTCTCCTTTCTGAGGGACTCATGTTATGTGTTTTTGGAAGATTTGAACACAATTAAACCGATTGCTGCTAAAAACCTCCACATCAATGTGCTGTATCAACAGAAAACCTGATGGCTTCCAGGTAGGGATTCCTGTGGTTTCTCAAACACCTGCTGTCTTATGGCCCACAAAACCATTAACTTCATACTGCAGGTGGCAGTACCTGATGCTTAGGGTATAGAGAGCACAGGGGTTTCGGTGTCCTTCCCCTCCTTCAGTACACATTTCTTAGACGTCTATGCTACCACGTATCACAATTTTGTATTTGATTTATATTTTACCCTGTAAATACACTCATTAGTAAAACACTCTCATAACCACTCTTTGGTTCTTTGGTAATGTCCTGAGTAATATTCTTATTTCAGGGTTGCTTTCTCGCAGAAAAGTTATGGCTGATCTTGTTATGTTTCATAACATAAGAAACATTATCGCAGCATAAAAACTACACACAACACTGAATGTCCAGGTTGTATTATCATTAAATTGGAGGTTGTTTCCCAGAAGGCTCTTCAAGTGGCAGGGAACAGAGCTATTAAAAGAAATTACTTCTTTGTCTCTGGAGAAGCAGGACATAGCTCCGGGACTTCATGGATATCCTGGATACTGTGTCATTTCCAGTCCTCCGCATGAATAATGGAAATGCATTCGTTCAGAAAGTGGAAGCGATCCATTTACAATAAATGATCTCACCATGTTGAAAAGAAAGGATTAAGGACAGGCAACAGACGCAGGGTGAGGCAGTACTGATGTCGCTTTTGGTTTCGTTGTTTAGAGGTCGCGGCTCTCAGGAACAGAGAAGTTGCCTAGAGAACTCCCGGCTCCGCCGCGGCTGAAGCGCTGGGAAAGGTGAGGCGCAGGAGCACGGAACGGGGGTTTTCGGCACGGCCTTCCGCGAAGGGCCGCGGCGGGGAGCACTTCTCGGCACTGCCGCGCCCGGCGCAGCCGCAGCGGGGGGGCCGGGCCGGGGCCGGGGCCGGGGCCGGGGTGTAGCACAGCTGGTCCCACCGAGGCCTGTCTGAGATGGGGCGGGAGATGCTCCGCTCCGCTCCGCTCCGCTCCGCTCTGCAGAGCTGCGGCGGCCGCGGAGAGAGCCCCAGGCAGGGAGGAGCCGCCAGGCTGGGAGGAGCCGGACGGCGGCAGTGCGGGGCGCGGGGCTGCCGGCGGCCGGAGCCCGTCCCGGTGCTGCACCGGCCTGAGGTGAGCACGGCACCGGCGGCCACCCGAGCCTGCCCGGGGGCGTGCTCCCTGCAGGCGTCTGCTTGGGAATGCCCGGTGGCAGGCAGGACTGAGTGAGATAGGTGTCTGGGAAGTTCGGTAAAACAGGTGAAAAAACCCCAAAACTCAAATTCCACCACAGCAGTGTAGAACTGTGCAGTAAAATGTGCTTGTGCGGTGTGCATGTAGATGTGTATGTGTGTATATATATATAGGAGTATATGTGTATAAACAACAAAAATAAACAATAAGAACAAAAAGAAACTTAACAAAACAAAGCACCATCTCTCCTGGTCCTTTATTTGCTGCTAAAAATTTACATGAAAAATGCAACCCTGTGACTTCAAGGTAAGCAGTGAAAAAGCAGTAACTAATTTCCTGAATTTCCTGACATTGAAAGGTCACTGCATTGAAAGGTGGCTTCTGTGATCTCACGGTATCTAATAAATGTGTTTCAGTTTGTTACACCTTTTTTTTTTTTTTTTCTTTACTGATTCAATATAATTTAGCCTGTTTTTAACAGCAGCAAAAAAAACCAGTGGAAATTAACATTTATCGGTCTCACCTACTGAGAATATCCACCTCCTCAATCTCCTAAAGTAGTTTCAGGTTGTTACAACCTAAATGTTACATTCAGCTATTTTATATACCACGGTTTCCACATTCATCTCACACATCAAGTAAAACCATGAACCTTATCAGTTTTGTACATTACGTGTTTTTTCTTCCATGACAGATACTGTGAGCAGGCTGTCAAGTGGAAAGAAGAAAACAGTGAAAATTTTTAGAGCGTTCATTTTACAGTGTTTTAACTCTGAGGATTTCAACCTTTTTCTGATGTGTGTGAAGACAACTTAAGAGAAGGAATTTACACTGAAACATATGGTTAGAGTTGTATTTTGTGCTGTTGACTCGGTTCTCCCTCTACAGTCTACAAGTTAATGTGAGTTCATCCTTTTGCTTCTAATGCTTGAGTGGGGAGGGTGGTTTTGTATTCTTAAAGGACTTCTAGAATCAAGAAAATGAAAAAGACAGTACTCTCTATTTTTTTTGCTAGCGTAGTACATAGGATTAAGAACTCTTTTTTCACTACACAGTAGCAAGGCAAGTGGCCTTCACTGCGTCTAAATCTTGGGAAGAGGATATCTGTCTTTGCAAGAGGAGGGTAGGAAATGTTTTTCCTGTTATTCCTATGTTATTTCTATTCCTATGACCTTTACGGACATGAGAAAATTGTGTGGAAAGTTCTAGTTGTTAGCAGCTTTTTGGTGTGGCTTGAGATTTATAATCTAGGGACCCTGAGTATGTGTAGATGGATGACCACCTGCAATTGGTATTCCAAGGACTAGTGCTTACACATAGCTTTGATTAGATTATGTGTTTTTAAAATGCCTATGGCATTTTATGTTCAAATTTTTGCAGCATTTGTCTGTTTGGTTACAGTGAACCACAGTTAGCAATACAGAATTTTCCCTGCTGGGGAACTTTCCAATAATGGGGAAGTTTCCTAAAGAAGTAGGTGTACTTACATCAACATTTAAGTTGTCACATGAAGTCTTTTGATAGATAGTTCTGGTTTTTCCTGTCCTTTTCATTTGATTGTGGCAGAAACGTGCAGCAGCAGTACTGAGGAGCAATTTGTACAGTTTAGAATATAATTTGCTTTTAAAAAACTTCCACAGATGTTGGAAGCTGGCAGGAGGACAGAAAAGACACTGTGGTAGGTACTGTAAGAAAAATAGCAAGCTTTAGTAAAGGACTTTGATTGATGTCAAGATCTCAAACTATCCAGAGGATTCTTCTGCTCAGGGTAAAACAAGAGAAGGTTCTATAATGGTTATTGAAGTGGTTTTCTTTTTGCATGTGCACCTGGATTTGACCTGGACCTGCATTTTTTTCCCTCTGAAAGTGAAAAATTGAATACAGCTGCAAACTTTCTCAGTCTTGAGGAAATTTGTAAGTAATAGTCATACTTTGTTTTGTGTATTGTAAAGCTTGTTTTCCTCTACAGTGGGAGAAGGCATTCTAATAAGTGTCAGCAATTGTAGGACATAAACATGGGTATTGGGACTATAAAAGCTAACTTGCTGTCTGTCTTCCAGGAGTTGATCAGAGCACCCCTCCTGGACATCATGCCAATACTTAGTTTTCCTGTTAAAAAGGTGGATAGGGGTTGCAGGCAGGAGTATGGGTATCTTTCCTGACTGTAGAGCACATACTGTTTGTTCCAAGCAGTGTACTAGTTCAAGCAGTTCTGCTTTGTTAAGAGCAGTCTACAGCCACTACTTTAAAACAAAAAAAAAAAAGAAAGTATTTTGAGTCTGAGTGTGCTGCAACTCTGGTCCTTCTGATAGCGGGAGTGCACAATACCCAGTCAGTCTCAGTGGTAGGCTTGTCTCCAGAGTAAGGGTGATTATGGTAGTTTTGTGTGATGGGTATACCTCTATCTCGTTGGAGAAGCTTTACATTGGTGCTCTGGAGTGCTTGTTACTCTAGCAGGGGAATCATGATGGAGGCATACTGATGCATAGACATTCAGAGAAACTCTTGGGGACCCACAGGATTGGGCTGCAATTTTCTAGTGCTTTCAAGGACATCACTTGTGGCTAAGGAGTAAGGCTGGTACCTAACTACTTTTTGAAGCCTAGGATTTATCAGTTAATCAGATCTTGCACCCTGAGAGTCTTCTTTGAATTTTTCCTGTGCCTATTTTTAGACTATGCTTACATTGTTAACAATGTAATGGATTGCCTTCCTTTCTCAGCTCCATATGCATTGCTTGCTGCAAATCAGCTGTTGGGATTGGGATCAGGCAGCAGCACTCTGAGGAAAAGAAGTAACTTGAATCAAATTGTTAGAAGGAGTCTAGTTCCCTTAAGCCACAGCACAGTAAGGGCACATGTGTCTTATGAATTCAAGACAAAACTGTTTTTTCACTGTCATCATAAAGTTGACAATCAGAGAAGGAAGGATGAAACATAAAAATTGTGAAGAATGGCAGTCAAGATAGAGTTTCATCAGTTAGGAAGTGTCATGAGTGTTACAGTTGTCTAATTTCTTATACAGATTCTGAAACTACCACTAGAAAATAGCTAAAGGCAATCCTTCCTTATTTTGGTGGATGTTTGTGGGTCCAAAATTAGAACTTTATTTAAAAAAAAATTACCATTTTCTGCGTTTATGGCTTAAAATACAGACTTGCCAAAAGCAGTGGGTGCGTTAAGATTAAATGTATGAGTCGATATTAATAAGCATTTTAAAATGTTAAAATGTTGTGTAGGACTATAAAGCCTATATCAGTAAAGAGGGGAAAAACTTTTGACAGAAAAGGGAAATGACTTTTGTATTCAGATGTAAAGCAGCAGAAATTCAATGCAATAGATTCTGCTTGTTGATTGACTGGCTTTGTCACTGTTTTACAAAGGCACTACTGTGTGAACGGTTGATTCATAGTTGTTAATGTGTAAATACATGTTATGAAATGAACCACCTCATGAATTGTTTTCACAATATATGTAACTTTGTGAGCCTTCTGGTATGTACTGTGGGACCAGGGTAAAAAAGCAGGGTGTATTCACAGTATGTTAAAATAAAATGAACAGGTGGGGAAGAACCAAGTTCTATTTCCTGCACTGACAGTATAGAAAATTCTTTCATTCTCCTAATGGGAGCAACATTCCCTGTTATAGTTAGGCTACAACTGGGTATTTGTGAGTACTTATTCACTTATCAACAGATAATGATAAAGGATTTATTTAGCCATCTGTCAAGAACAGATGTTTAAAGCAAATAAAGTAAGATGTTTTTCCTGGACCCACCCATTCAGGAAGATTTCTGCCTGATTATCTACTGGGTGTAGTTTCATCCTGTTCTTAAATAGGGTGGGATCCAGTGTCTCCTGTCCAATTATTTGTGTGGATTGCTATGAAGTGTATTTGACAGTGCAACTCAGAAAATGAGTATTTATTTATATTTGTCTTATTTTTTTATTGGTTTAGGTTCCATCTGCATCATGGGAAGGCCTTTGTTTTTGTATGTATTTTTATTCTACTGGCATTTCCTAAATGGTAAGAAGCCGTAAAAAGCAGTAGAACAATTTTGGTGTGTTTTCTTTCCATGTATAAGCACAGAAATGTTAATTTCTCCAGTTTTCCTTCAGCTGCTAGCATTTGAGTTTTTTTCCCTTAATGTTTTAAGTGAAAAGGCCGAAGCATAGCTTTACATTAAACCAGATGCATGTATTTTGATATGGGGCCAGGTTAAAATCCCTGTCAGTGTTCCAGCAGAGGCACCTTTCCAAACAAGGTACCATTAGCATTACACCAAAGGTTTTCTAGACTCTATCAGACCTGGGAAATGTTGTGTATTCTTTAACATTGTGCGTAAAAAACAATTGGCATTTATATAAAAAGAACATTCCCATTGCTAACACTTGCCTGTTACCACAACAGAGTTTTCTCAAAGCAACAGCTGATGGCTGTGCATATACAGTTCACTGTTTTTAGTACAGCATCACACTGTGTGTGTACACAAAGCAGGTGTCTGCAGATGTGAGTGCCCATTGTGTGTGTATACAGCAGAGGTCTTGTGTTTTATCACATACTTGGACAACTACATACCAAAATGTTTAACTTTTCAGAACAGAGAATGTACTTTGGTCCTTAAAATTTCCTATGGATATGGTAAGACATGACTTTAAAGATTAGGTGTATTATTTAAAAACTAAGTTTTCTTCCAAATTTTGTTTTTCAGCTTTATTCACAGTTGAAGCTCCTCAGTCACTCTGCATTGTGGAACGTGGGAACAATGTGACCATGGAATGCACATTTCCAGTGAATGGGAAGTTAGAGTTTAGAGACTTAAGTGTCAGCTGGGATAAGAAAGATGAGTTGAAGCAGGTTTATGTACTTCGCAAAGGAGAGGAAGACCTCAAAAATCAGCACAATGACTTTAAGGGAAGAATAAAATTGTTGAAAGAGAATCTGAACTTGGGACAGTCTGTCCTTCAGATCACTGACGTGAAGCTCAGAGATGCAGGAATTTACCGCTGTGTTGTTGCCTATGGGGGAGCTGACTACAAGACAATCCACCTGAAAGTTAAGGGTGTGTATGCTGCTATCAGAGGTTCAATATTGTGATACTCTTAAAAGATTTCAGAGGAGATCCTGAAGTAAGATATATCTGGATTAGCACTTAAAAGAAACCTAATTGGAGACAGGGGCTATCTGATGGTGCTTGCACAGCTGTGTAACTTAGGCTTCTGTTTATGTTGAATCTGTGCTCTGTCCTTTAAACCTGCCATGACATGTAAGGAATCAGGTTGCAAATCATGTGTAGAGTACAAAGACCATAAAGCCTAATGAGCTTTCTAAACCACATCAAATTTGTAATAAATCCTGTACCTCCAGTTACAGACTCAATAGTGTTACTTACCTTTCCTGTCAAAATCCAAGCTGAAACTTGACCCTGGGGGCTGGGGAAAAAGAAAAGGTGTCTTTCCTTTAATACAGGCTGTTCTTCTAGCTTCCTATTGGAAATGATTTTTTTCCCCAATTGTTTAGCTCCTTACAGAATTATAAACCAAGGAGTGGAGAGCACAGGACACAACGAATGGAAGTTGACATGTCAGTCAGAAGGATACCCAGCAGCTGAAGTGATATGGCAAAATAGAAACTACGAAGATTTGACTTATAAGGCAAACACAAAATTTGAAACTGCAAATGACCAGTTGTACCGTGTGACAAGTACCCTCACAATCAAAAGTGGAATTGATGACATTTTTTACTGTATATTCTGGAATAAAGAGCTGCAAGAAAATACAACTGCCATTTTACACCTAGCAGGTAACACTTCTGAATTTCATTTATGGTAATACACTTCAAGGTGCTAATGTAATTTTGTCCTAGTCGAATTAGCTATGATTTGTTTTTTTTTCCAAATTTTGAAGAGGCTAGACAGAAATACCTGTGTCATTAAGTTTTGTTATTAATGTATACTTTCACCATACTAACATGTTCATCATGCATGTATGGTCAGAATTTAAAGACAGGAATTTTGTGTGACCTACAGGTATCTGGAAATTGAATCTCAATCTTTTAAAAGTTCCATTATTTGGAAGACATGTAACTCAGCATCTGAAAATTAAATCCTTCCATCTTCCAAGATTATTCTAGTTTGTTGATGATTACTGTCACGTAAACTTAAACAATATGGTCTTTTCCTGCCACTACAGCCTTTGCTTTGAGCATATTTAAATTTAAGTACTTGTATACAGATTTTTTTTCCCTCATAAAGTCAGAATTCAAGGAAAACTCCTAAATGGACAAGACCAATACAATTCCTAATTAAACCTTTTAACTGGGCAGCTCCTCTTCTGCTTTTGCTTTTGATTATTCTTTTCTGCATTGTAGCCTGATATGTTTTCAACCAGACAGGAGACCCAATCGAACTCAAAACCAGTATTTCTCTTTGTCAGACTGTTACTGAGGTCATTTCCCTGATGCAGTTCACCGTCTAGTTTTAAGAACACCTGTGCAGTCACGCTTTTTGGACACAACAAGGGTTTGAAACAGCCATGTTTAGAGTGAGAAAACCAAGTAATTCTTTCGATGGGCAAGTCTGATTTTAACAAGAAAAATATCTGGGATTCAAGGAGACCACTTACCCTTTCCATTTGGAGCAATCATTACCAGATGAAAGGAGCTGTGTCCTCTTTCTCAATTACCTTTTTCGTGTAATCCTGATGGGAAACTAAGGCAGCTGTAACACTCTGACAAGCAGGATTCTGATGGGATCAAAGGCACTATCACATGGAATGCAGAGAACAGAGAAAAATATTAATATGTTCTATCTTCCCCCCACCTTATTTGAAAAAAGTGTTATGTACACCATTAACACCTGACCTTAGACGCAATCTATAAAGTTGTTATTATGTCTTAATTGCTCATAGCAAAAATAATACAATGAAAATGAAAGGCAAAGGGAGGATCCTATGCAATTAAGTAATGTCTTATCTCCCACCTGTTTTTCTTGAAGATTCAACTGAAGGCATTCTCCAGACTAAGAGCAGACGCTTTGTTGGAGCAACTCTCATTGCAACTGCTTTTGTTGGATCAGTGCTTCTGTTTCTGCTCTGCATAAGAAAAGGTATGCAAATTATTTATTTTAGAGTGTCTCAGTTATTATCAATCTGCTTTGTTAATTCATCCTCACTGAGTGGAATGAGACGGTTTTTTACCATGTAATTTATTTCTCTTTCTTTACTGGGCTTGAGTAGATAGTAGCAAGTTGACAGAGGGAAACAGGTTGTCAACCCCTCACAAACCCCACTTAGCCATGTATGTTTGTTAATCTTTCCTATAGGTAAGGATGTAAGCAGTAAGATTAGTGTCTAATCTATTGCATCATCAAAGCACTTATTTTTTACCTATTGGGAATTGAAGGCTCCTGTTCTGTGTCTTCCTTTTTGACTGGGGACCAGAATGCTGATAGCAGACAGGATACTGGAGGTTTTTTAGTGGTTCTTATTCTGCATTCTCTGAAATAGATAATTGCACTGAACTGTGAGAGCACCTGTTTTTTTAAGTGAATATTTCATTGATTACCTTAATAAGTTTTGAGCTTTCTCAGTTCACTTCCTGAATTAAGATTGGATATTTTCAGCATCACAGTATGTACAAAAGCTAAAGCGTTTGGCAATAATTTGTTTTCACTTGCTAGCTAACAAAAGAAAAACTTGAAGAAATAATTTGTAGGTTGTCTGAGTATGAAAAGACTATAGCTAGCACCCAAAATAAAGGAAAAAAAGTTTTAAACTTGTTACTTAAACTGAAAGAAGTAGTGTTAATTTATTTTTCTTTCATAGGTGGGGTGGGGGAGGGGGGTGGCTATGGAAAAGTCCTGAGAAAAGTATTCATAAGCTTAACAGGCTTGCAGGTGATTCTAACAGGCTGCAAGAGGACTGCAGATAATCCTGCAAGTATAAGAATTTACTTGCCCTAAGAACATAATAGGAATAGGAGGAGAACATGAAAGTGGAAGAAGGGACAGCAAAATCCTTGACTGCTCAAAAGAATCCCACTGGGGATTTCACTGAAGGTCAGAAGTTTCCTAGGTTGCTTGACTAAGATTTATTGTTTGTGTGTGTGTGTGATAATGCACATCACATTAGCTTTCATATCTATCTATACACACATACACGTGTGAGTGTGTGTGTGTTTGATAAACTACAAGTTGATTCAAAAGCTAAGCTGTAAGTTTACACTGTAAGTGACAATAAGTTTTTATCTTGAATCCTAAGCTGTCCTGGGTTACTGGACAAGTGATCATTTCAGAACAGAATCTTCCCAGAATGTGAGCATTTTTCCCCTCAAAAAGCACTGAGAAGATGATCGCCTTTCTGTTCCCTGTTTTCTGATATGTTCAAATTCTGGGTGAAAAGATGCAGTGGGAAACCATTTGAACAAGTATTTTCCAGTGATGTTAGTGCATAGTATCAATGGAGTTCCAGCTTAGAAACAAGAAAAGGAGGTTGGAAAGGAAACCAACAGATTTGGAGTACCGAAGAATTTATTTTAGAGTTTTGGAAGAAAATTAGTATTTTGAGAACAAATGTAATTTGTTATTACATTTGTAATGTAATGGGCTATGTGATGTGTGCCCCTCCCACCAATGTGTTTAATCTCCTCAATAGATCTAAGGCAAGTATTTTGGGTTGTTTTTAAATTGTTTTGTTTTGTTTTGTTTCAGCTAGAGCAAATAAGGGCAACAGAACACCTGTGGCGAGTCCATCAATAGCAAGTATGTACATACGACATAAATCTAGCAGAGTGTGATTCTTGTGGAAATAAGAAATTCTCTTGCTTGAGAATTAACTTTGTAATGGTGACAACCAAATGGAGATTTAAATTCTATTTTATAATGCTTTCTACATTTCATTTACATAACAACTATAAATTACAATTGAAGAATGGCTTTTCACGACTGTGTCATCCTTTCAAAAGGAATGAAAAGCATACTTGTTCCAGGAACTGATGCACTCCTGATATGCACAAGAAAAGGACAGAGCAGTATATTGTGTTTTGGAAAGTCTGCAATAGGATGGGACAGGCTCCCTGGACCGTAATAGCTCAGAATGGCATCACATCCTGATGTGCAGACTTTTTGCTGCAATTTGAACTGTGTTGGCACATTCCTCTGTTTTTTCCAGTATCGTAGCATGCATTTGGGAGTCTTTGTCACAACATTCGTGACCGAGAGTTTGGCCCCCTTGAGAGAAACTCGGGGAAGCTTTAGTTTCTGTGTTGATATTGATGCTATTTACTATGAGCAAAGCTTAGTGGAAGGCCAGCACCACCATGACAGGTGCTATTGAAGGAAATGAAGAAAAGAGACTTAATATTTACAGCAGGAGTGAAGAGATTAAAATCCTTTTGCTGCCTGTCAAGATGGTTACTGGCTGACTTACTTTTAAGTTGTGGTATGGGTATTTGGAGACCACCACAAATTAAATTGCTGTGTGAAAACTGGTTCATGCTGGCTATTGGCATTTTTCTGAAGAAAAGCTCTCTTGAGAGTACTTGCTCAAACAGAAACAGCATTTACTGCTAATCTCATCCCTTGCTCTACATTCAAGTCACTCTAGATCCTGAGTGGCCTGAGGTGGCAGTTTCTAACACAGATCTATCACTATAGGAAAAGTTTAAGCTATGCTCACTGCTGCATATATATATGTCCTTTGCTTACAGAACTTGCAAAAGATAAGGATACACACAACTGCAGAGATGCTTTTTTTGAAGACAGAGAGCTGAAATGTAAGTATAAATGATGAAGGAAAAATTAGTAGCAAATTTTACACAGCATAAACCATCCTGGTCACTGGAGCATTGATTAAGGACTGGTTTATTTAGCCTCTTGTTTCAACAGACAGAGCCTTCAAGAGATAATAGAGCTTTGCATTCTGTGTCTTACAAACTCACCATCATAACTCATTGTGTACTGTTCGTTACATCAAAGAATGAATCTAGTTTTTAAAATAGAAAGATATACGAAGGAAAATGTGATGTGGAGATATATAAAACCCCAAACCAGTCGCTTTTCCCAGCTTGCGCTTTTGCTATGGAAAGAGTTGTTCGTGCATATCTGTAAGGGTGGTGGTGGCAGTGAAGGAGGGGACAGGAACCTGTCACAGCTACTTGAGCAGGTCTCAAGCTGTGTGATTCGCTCTCAACAAAGCAAGAAAATATATGAATCAAATATCTCAAATCTGTGAAACATCCTATGGTGTGGAACAGGAGGGTGAAATTATTGAAGTTTTTCTCTCACTTTCTTGCTGACTTCTAAAGCACTTCAATTAATTGCATCCCAAATCCCTCCCTGCTACACTTTACTACAGTAAACTTTCAGGTAAGCCTGCTGGTCCTGCAGGTGTAGATGTCCAAGCACAAGAGTTAGGGTCTGGGGATATGCCACTGGGAATACTGACAGAGGGAGCACTAAATGTATTTAAAAGAATTTTAAAAGGTTTTGAAAGAAAGGGGGACCTGAGCAACAGCAATCTCACTGTATTTGCTAAAGAGCACTTCCCACACTGGTGTATGTTTGAACTACCACTTTTATTTACTCCCATGATCATATTTTCCTGTTTGATCTTTTAATTAATTTAATTTTAGATGAAGGAAACTTTTTGGTACCTTCATACTCTAGGAAAGGGGTGCAAAACTGTGAAGTGTTCATCATTTTGTAATTTAATAATTTTTTCATATAATTCTTCCTGTTACAGATATGCAAATTGAGAAGACCTAGAGAGAACAGAGGAAGACTTTTTCCCTCTATTGTGAAGATTTGTCAGCTCAAATGTTCTGTGTTCTATATATTGAAGGGGATATAATTTTTTTTGTATTTATTGTGTGATGGCAATCTTCTATATTGTTGTAACACAGGAAAAATTTAAGAAAGTTAAAAAAATTATTATAGCATAAAAAATATTGAATAGATTCTGTATATGTGACTAGATAGTGAGGTATTTATTTAAACATCAAAGTTTCTACCTTCTCTAGGCAAATGTGTGTTTCAAAGATTTCATTTAATTAAATGTATCTTTCAGGTAAAGCACTTTAGGTCTATGACCATCATGAATTTCATAGCTAGCTCTTGATAGATCATCTTCTGAACCTTTTTTCCTTCCTTCTTCACCTGAGCTCACAATTTCCTGCACATAACTGGTTTTCCATAGTTTAAAGAATCTTTTCAATACTTTGATCCTCATAAAAGGTGCAACAACACAAATTGCCATACATGCAGGGCATTTTCATTATTAAAATACCAGATGCTCTCAGCTAAGCCTGAAAAAGATGATTTAAAATTCTTGGTAACTATGGTTTGGAAATTAAATAATACTAAGTTTTTTGATATTTTCTTTGAAAAGCATTGTGGGCATTTAATTTCCTCATGATATTGCTGGCACTACTTGGTTACTGTGCACTGTCTTCTGATTTACAGTCTGGGGATAATACAATTCTTTGGACATTTAGGAAAAACAGCCCTTGCTTTAGATTATAATTTTGTTTTCTTGGGAATGGGAAAAGGAAAACATACTTACTTCTAGGACATGAAATAACTGCACATGTGATTACATAGAAATGCTGAAGAAACCTGTTCTTGGTTCCCGTTTCACAAGTTATTGTTGTCTGCATTTTGCTAAGTGCTTAGCTTTTTGTGGGGGGGATCATACACAGGTGAAAAAAATGTATTACAATGGTACTCACAACTGTATTTTTTTAATAAAACATGTTTTGCTTTTCTTGTGGTTTTTCCTGCTTTCCTTAACCTGTCAGCAAGTAGTGTAAGCTCTATTTGCATATTTCTGAGAAAAAAACATTATCTAAGGTTTAGGTGTAGGAGAGAGTCTACAGCCATGACCTTCCTCTAATGGCTCCCACAAAGAACAGATGGCAGAGAACTGGAATCTCATTGAACTCAGATTTTATTTTTCATTTGAAAATAAATAATGTATTGTGCAGTCCCAAGAATGTGGACACAGTCGTCATTTGTGAATGCCAGGGCTTCACTGCTGGCAGTATTCAAAGTAGCTAAAGCAAGGTGGTGTTTAATAATCTGAGAAAGCTGTCCTCTTTAGTAGAATAGAGAAATGTCTGTCAGAATCATAATGGGCTTGGTCAACCACAGTTCAGTAAAATAGTTACTACAGAGTCATTTCCCTGATTCATTGCAGACCTTGTGTATTCTGATACTGATTATTCCCATTTGACTCTTCAAGGTTACCATGTGAACTTGAATATCTGCTCCTGCTTCCCAACATGCTTTTTGAATCTAGGTGTCATTGAAGGTGATGGCCAAATTTTAATTATCTACAGAGAGGTTTTTGAAATATCAGGGCCATTTGTAGACAAAGTACTGACTCAGCACAAAAATATAGAATCATATCACCACATAAATAATTCCCTTTCCAGACAAGATAACCTTTTCACTTTCTACTTCCTGTTTGGGACTGGACAGTTGTGTGCATTTTACAGTAAAAGTGAAGAAGTCTCCTCTTGTTAGTTCTTATAAGCCTTTGCAAAGCAGTGCTTGATTAGTGCTATGGAACTGAAGTTAATGTCTTTATCAAACTCTACTCTACAGCAGGAACTGTTACATTTCTCTTTTCCCAGTAGGAGAAAGGGCAAGTTACTGTTGAAAGTGCTGTATATCAGATGAGTAAGATAATGAAATGAGGGGATAAAAATAGAAATTCTTTAGCTGAACCCTAAATTCTAAAATGACAGTGCTTGAATTCCTGAGTGGTTGATGGGAAGCATAAAATTTTGCTACTTCTTTAGAAAAGCAGGACATGAGGCAAATAACAGGTAAAGCAAAAAGTCCTGCCCTTACTAAATAAGCTCTCTTTTATACTTCTCTGAAATACAAGGCTGAACTTGTCTAATCTTATTTTAGAAATTAAGCTTTTAGTAGAATTTAAGTCTTGTGGCTTCACTTTTATGAATACAGGGAGACAGGCCCACATGTTTATTCTTCAATGCCATAAGTGGTTTCAAGTAAAGTATTTTCTGCTCCTTACACAGGGATAATACACACCAAAGTGAAAATAGAGCATTTAGTTCATGAGAACTAGGTAAGTGGAAATCCTTCCTATCTTAAGACAAAAAATGTAGTTAAACACTATTTTTTAGTGAGTTTTTTTTTCCTTCCATTAAAATCATTTGCATGATGCTTCAGTGTTTTCAGATATCTGGAAGACAAAATACAGCAGCAAGCAGGAGCAGACAGCTTCAGTAAGCTGCATTTTACTTCCTAGTAGCCAAGCATCATTAGATTTTCAAAAGTGCTCAGAAAAGCCTGGTTCATGTGCACAATCAAATTTGGCTTATTGCTATTTCAGTTCAGGACTCATTTATTTTACAAATGTAACTATGAACCAGCGTGGTGGCCTGCTTTGTGATGTGGCATTTAATTTTGTAGAATATGAAAGCTATTGACAATTACAATTCCAATAAAGATCTAATAATATGAAAAATAGAATCATTGCTGTTGACCTGCACAGCTTTTCATGGAGCAGAACTGCAGGACTTTCGACTGTGTCCCTTTTCCCCTTTGGTTAAAAAAATTCCAATGGCACATCATTGAAGCATGGGCTAGACAGGAAAACAACAGAGGTGTTAAGGGTGGAATTTCTGCTTTTGCAGACCTTAACAGTAGGACTTCTGTTTTTTCAGCATATTGTCCCAGATTCACTGTCTCTCTCTCTCTCCATATTTTTCTGGCTCTGCAAGTATATGATTGTCCCAGGCAAGTCAGATGCTACTGGGTTCTTGTGATGCCAAAGGCAAGTCACTGATTCTTGGGCGATTTCACTGAGCTGTCTCCTTGTTCCAGTACAGGAACACATGAAGAAAACATACTGTAGGCAGGACTAGCTCAGAATGAGCAGATGATGGTGATGGTGAAGTAACTTTGGTGTTTCTTTTCTGTCATCCAAATCATTGACTTCTGCCAAAGAAGTCATTGGAGCTCTTCCGGGAAAAGGTGAGACTACTCGTGAATTACTTTGTGTGACAGGGCTACACATGATAAGCTTACTGAAGAAGAATGAAGTAATGTAACAGTGCTTTTGTTGAGCTAGTTTGCTCTGCACTAGGCAGCAGGAGACATAATTTCATAAATCAGTCTGGAACTGTGAGACAGGCAATCATCATACATCTTCCCAAACCAGCTAGGATTTGCAGGAGTAAATCACAATCATTTTTTGTGTTGAGGTAGAGCACAATTCTCACAAGCAGTAAAAATCTAATAGGAGACAAAAGAGAATGTGTAGCACAAACACATCTGTATCTCTTTTATGTCTCTCACGCATTATGATATCATAAATTAAAATTCACTCATTATGTCATCATAAATTAAAAGATAGAGTGATGAAAAATGAAAAGATGTGTCCATTGATAAAACTGTTTGATAGAACAAAATACTTTTATATCGGAAGGAGATCCATCAGTCACCTAATCAAATCTTCCACTCAAAGCAATGGCATCGTAAAAACAATTGCACAGGCTTTGTCTTGTAAAGTTTGGTGCATTTGTAAGCATGGAGATTCACAACGTCACTGAAGTGTTTGATTAGCCTCCCTCATAGTGATTTTGTTTTTTTGGTAATTACATCAACCTAGATAAAAATTAAGAGGAAATAGATTCTGCAAATACTAGGTAATTGCTTGACGAACTCTTGTAAAATTAATCTGATGAAAGTAAGAAAATGTAACTTGATGAAGGTACAACAGTCCTAGTAAATGCAAGTTCAGATGCCAATGCTGTACACTGCTTTAAATGGTTATAAACCCACTGAAAATCATGGGTATAATCAAAAGCAGAATTTGAGCACATAGATTTTACAGAGTGATTTGTATAATTTTGTTGGATGCATGCACATTCTCAGCAATGCAGAGAAATGAGCTCAGTGTACATTCAGCATGAAACTGAAACTAACAATGTCCTGAGAAAAGTCCTTTCAACAGAGTCAGGTTTTTTATGACATAAAGATCAACCTACAAGCTGAATAAGATCAGCCCACAAGTTGTGCTATTGGTGCATGTTATACACTGTCATACGACTTGGGTAGTTTCTGCTATGTGCAAACAGGATAGAGTTTTGGGAATCTTTGCTGTTACATGAATCAGATTGCAATGACCTGCGTAAAGATCTGATGTGAGTATAACACTGATAAAATGCAAATTGATTTTTCCTGTATTTCTGGCTGATGGATTGAGGGTTTTTTCCTTGATTCTTAAAATTTACTTAATTTATTTTCAAATTATTACTGGGATACAGAATCTGATTGTGAATGAAAGACTGGATAAGTTTCAGATCTTAAAACACAGGTCCATAAATTTCTAACCCTGATGTTTTTAGAAGTTGAAACTCTCTTACAACTCTATCTTCTCTCATAGGCAAAGGCAGAGGAGTGGTGCTGGTGAGCCTCTTCAATTTGTACATGAGGATGTAGCTCTTAGTAAATATTTCATCCTGAATTTCAGGGAGGATTTGAATGGGGAAAAAACCCTCTGTATATATTTGTGTCTATGTATTCCTATTTACTTTCCTTCAGTTGTTACTAACATACTACCTGCAGGTTGTTTTGATTGTACAGCAAGTCTGGAGACTTTCACCTTCTGCATTCCAGAAAAAGCATAGGCTATGAAGAGAAGTTCTTGTGCCTCTCTAAGAAGTCTTTCTTTCTGTAGGAGCTAGAGATACAAAAGAAAATTTGCAGTGTATCATGCCAAAATGTCAGTCTGTATTCAGTAATGCTGCTAAGAGTGGAAAGGCTCTGAGAAGTTCTATGATATACAGAACTGCTTTTTAAATGTAACAAAATTTCACCCCAATTCTATCCTAGTATCTACAGAAAAAAAAATCAGCTGTATTAGAATGATTATATTTGTCATGGAACAAAAAACTAACAGTGGAAAATATTCAACAGGTGACAGTTAAACAACGTAGGGAAAGTGAGAATTCGCAGATAATGTGAGCAAAAGAGGAAGTGAGAAATTCTATATCTTCATCTGAAGGCTGAAGGAAGATGGAGAGCAGACTGAAATTATTCAAATAGGCTGTCACATGTAAACATCAGGGACAAACCAATTGTCCCAACAATAAATTGCCCATGTGGTGAGGTGGGCAACAAGGGACTGCAACAAGTGTGCAAAAGACAAGAAGAATGGCAGGTGAGGTGGTATTTGGATAAGGCAGGTTTGAGAAAATAAGAACAAGAGATTATGTCCACAAAATATACTGAGACAGGCTGAAGAAATGGCCTTTGAACAAATTTTAATATGCATGGTTAGGATTTTTTATTAAATTCCTGAAATAGAAAAAAAGTACCTTCTTTCTGATGGTGAGATACAGAACAGTTGTAGTTTGTATGAGTATCTAATGCTTGTTTTTTGTTTATTCTCTTGTTTATTTTCTGACCTAGTATTTTTAAACTTTTTTCTTTAGTTTTTTTGTTTCTTTCTTTTTTTTTAAACTAGATCCTTCCACAGAAAGTAAAATCAGTTTAGCCATTTCATGAAGATGTCAAAAAGTTGTGTCTTTTTGCACATGTGAGAGTGTTAGAGGAAAGCTGTTGAAAAAACTTGCTTCCATGCAAGTTTTTGCAAAATGTACAGAAGGCAGGGGAGTTGCAGTAACAGAAAAAGACAAAAGAAACTGTGACTAGGACTATATAATCTTTTGCTGTGTACATAGGTGCATGAGAAGATAGTCTCTTTGAGCAAAATAACTCCATTTCACACAAGGAGAGTCAAATGGAGCCAAGTCAGATGCCTGTTAACACAGCTTGATTGCTTTTGATTAAGATGAGTTTGTAATTTTGGATTATTTCCAGAAAGCACTGTCCTGTGCTTAGTATGGGTACTAGCTTTGCAGTACAATAAGACAGAGAGTGCAGAAGGAGCGGGATTAGGAAAAGCATAGTCATTAGGAAAACATAGCTGATCTAGGCTCACTAATGTTGCAGAGTCTGTCAGCAGAGGAGCAAAAACATTGAATGTAGGAGTGAACAGATCAACTGCAATATTTGTATTTCAAATCTGTAACAAAGTCTACCAGCTCAGGATGTCTCAGGTTGCAAGACCGCTAGCAAAACCTTATTTGCAGAAGTGTACAAGGCAGTTTGTGTGGAGGTGAGCGCAGGCCAAATGGCCAGCCTGGTGACATTTCCATCCTCCCAGCTCCCAGCCATGGAGTTCAATGTCCCCACTTCTCTCTGTGCTGTAAAAACACAATGTCCCCACTTCTCTCTGTGCTGTATTTTACCTGCTACAACCCAGCAGGATCACATCAAAAGTGCTGCCAATGGGACACCTTGGTCTCAGGGAAATACGATTCAAAGAAGGGTCTGTCTACCATAGCCACTTAAAAAGAACCAGGTACCCCTTCCTTAGTCCTTTAATAGTTTGGTATTCCAGAGTGAAATCTGAGAGATTATTGTGAACTTCTGTGTTGATTTGACTCCTGCTTAAAACCTGGAGGAAAGCCAGTGTGCTTGAAAGCTTGTTTAGCTTTGCCAGCTGGTCTGATTATTCTAGTGGAAGCTATGGGTCTAAAAAGCTCACCTTGCTTAATGCTGCTAAATTTCATTACGTAGACACCAAATGTGTTTACTGTTCTAAATCATCCATTTGCTAGAAAACAAATATTTTAATAGCTGAAACAATGTTTCCGGGAAAGTGTTTCCCATTATTTATTAGATTATAAGGTCCCTGTGTCAGTGACTGTGTCTCTGGTTGTTTTGTTAAGTGAACAGCACAGATTCTCGGGATATTCAGGATCCTTTGTTAAACTTGCGTTGAGAATGATCACAGAACTACAGAACCATAGAATGATTTGAGTTGGAAGGAAACTTTAAAGGTGATCTACTCCAACCCCCCTGCCACGTGCAGGAGCAATCATAGTAAGGGTAATAATCAAAGGTAGAGGATCTTACATTAAGATGCTTCTTTTGCTTAAGAAAAGCATTATGACCTTTCATGGATGAAAACAGTAGGATTTAATTTACATTACTCAGATGCGGGTTTCAACCGTTATTACAGAGGAGTAGATTGCAAAATATTCCGTGATCTTCATGTTCCTTTGCTTAAAATACTTGTAAACTTAACATTGTGAACATTGTGAGAGTTGTCACTAATGCCAAATCAATCCTTACTCTTACCACCAGACTGGTGCGAACTTCAGTTCCCAACGCACTGTGGTGAAAACACACAGCAGTGTTTTCTGAAAATAGGATCCAGTAAATAAAAATAAACACATACCAAAGAGGTCTATATAAACACAGCTACTTAAATGAGCCACCCAAGCTTTTGCTCAAGAGCTTGACAGTTTAAGCATGTAGCAGACTGATGTTCATATTTTGCCACCTGTTTCAGCTCCTGAGAGCACCCTTGTAACATCCAGTCAAGATAAGCACCTTTTCAATTCTGTCTGTAGAATGGAATAAAGTCTATACAGTATTTTGAAAATTTAATCATATAGTTGTATGGAGCTTAGAGATTGTACAGTTTGAAATGGGAGTCTAAATTTTCCAAAGAAACAAGAAATATCCTTCTCACTCCTTAGAGAAGGATTTTGGACTACCACTAAAGATTTTGTACGAAGTAAGGCCAAAAATTACCCAATTTTTTTTAGGTAAGTGTTATAAACCCTTTGGATTAGTGAGCTGGGACCAGGGTTAAAGTTACAGGCATGATCAACTGAATGAATCAAGAGAAGAAAAAGAGTACTTAGTATAATTTCCATCTTTGATGGAACTTCAGCAATTTATTATCATTACCATCTGGATTTCAGTCAGCATTCACTAAGAAAATTTACCATAATATATTGCTTGTGGCCCAATGAAGTCAAATATGGGTTTCAACTTTGTACTTTCAGTAAAAGCAAAAAAGCTGTACAAAAAGAAAATATGATATTCCTCATTTTCCCTGATCATTGCCATACTTTTGTTTTCATTGACACGTTCAAACTTTTTGTCTTGGGCCCCAAATCTTCACTGAAACTATTACAACTCTTAAAAAGCCATGATGATCTTTAGATATTTGATGTGATGCTTTTTACCATCTCAATTATCCAATGTTTTTGCGACTTAACTCTCATAATCACAGAGCATTGTGTGATAACTTGCTTTTTCTTCTGCAGATTGGTCTGGGAAATCAATTTACTGACTCCATCTGAATTGCTCTTGAAATGTCATGCTACTTCATACTGTTCTCAGAAGTGTATTTTCCTCACTTTGCTGTAAGATGCATTAAGTAATAATTTTTATGGCACGGTGTTCCTTCTTTTATCCCTGTGAATTTGTAACAAGCATATGATGGATACATTTTAGAAGTGGCCTTTTTCTTAACAGAAAAACAAAGGACTTTTGCATAAGCTTAGGATAAGTTAGGATAGTTGTGTACAAGGACTGTTGAAGAGCAGGGCATGACATATGTTTTATCAAGAGTAGGGAGAACATGAGGGCTATTCTGCAACATCAGGAATGGTTGGTAGTGCAAGCTCGGAAGAAATCACCCTCTAGATGCTGGTGCAGGCTTTTCTATGGAAGTGTGTCAGAGCCACATGATGAAGTTGCATGGGTAAATTGCACTGAGATTGCACAACAGCTTTGATGTCTGCTTGTGAGATTATGGAAATAAAGAAGGATGCCTTCTAATACAGATCCTTGCTGACAAATCCTTGATCTTTCTAATACACATCTGTGCTAATAGATCTTTGATCTTTTTAATACAGATCCTTCCTCCTTCCCACAAGCATTCTATGACTGCTTTCAGTACCCCAAGTTAAAATGTTCTAATATTTGGTTTCTTTTCTGTATTTATATTATGTGTAATGCTTTTCTAAAACTAATCCCTCTGGTCAGACAAGATTTTCTTGATATGTAATAATTATGATTATCTGCTGGGGCAGATTGTGTATCTTCTTATTTTTACTATCAGTAATATGTGTCTTTTTAAAATACTATCTCCTACATTAAAAAATAAACATCTCTGCATTTTCAATGTACTGTAGATGATAAAAAGAGAGCAGAATACCTAAAATGTCTCACATAAGATTAATCCAAGGATCTAAATATTGATGAGAAATAGTTTCATTCTTCATTCAGTTCTTTCCCTTATGTTCATCTTCTAATAGGTAAGCTGTGTGGAGAAGTGAGTGTAGGAGACTGAGGATGGTAAATAGTAACAGTCTTTACTTCTGCATCTGGAATATAGAGATACTGATGGTGTTTATTATCTCCTTTCTCACACAGCCATAGTCATTATGATTCATCATGTAATAAATGCCTCTGATAAAGGTAACTAGCTTTCATTTACGTATAGTAAGTCTGCTCACGGTAGTTTGAATATAAACCTTTATTTGTTACATGACATCAAAAAGTCCCATAATTTTGGCTGCTAATTTGCTAAGCTGTGAGCCTTGCTTTCCAAGATACTGAAAGCTCAAGGGTAGAAACAATGAGAGAAATGCAGCACCTGAGAAAATTGGAACCAGAATGTTTCAAGCTGAGCCCACAAAAGAATAGGGAAGTAAAATAAAACCCCTCCTCCAGTAAGTCTAGCTCTGGGGAAGTCTAAAATTGCTCCTTCTCTTCTTTACTTCCTTGTAGCTTATTTCTGGATCTTCACTATTTCTTTTCAGATTATACTACATGTTAACAAGCTTTATTCAAAGTAATTCTTCTGTCTTTTCTATTATCTCATTAGTTTTGTTATGATTTTTGCCTCTGGTGCTTCTTTGTTGTTTGGTGTTTTTCCTCTTTTTTTTAGTTATGTTGATCTGCATACAATAGTATGAAAAATATGTGATAGTCTGCTTGCTACTGGAACACAAATACATTCACTCAAAAACTGTACTTTCTCCTTTTGCATTATTCCAGGGATGATGGTTTACTATCAGTAATACAAGGCAATTTGTACACATCAGACATTGCCATATGTAAAATGAAAGAACAGCAGCAGTAAGTCTTCATTCTAATCCTTTCTGAAGCAAACTTCAATTAGGCAATAGGAAACTGCAAAATACCCCATGCAAGGCAAAGCTGAAACAAAAGCAGGGTTAAAAATCTTGTAAACTAGATCATGTGTAAGTACGGACAGTTATAACATCTGCTTGTGTTTGTTCATGAGTCTCTCCTACATGGGCGAAGTCAATTGCAACTGATTATTATTTGTGGACAGTAAAAAATATAAAAGCATTTCCCTGTCAGACTATTTGAAACTGCCTGCAAGCTACAGATCCTGAAAATGTCATGACTGAAGTTGTGGAATTGTTTAATTTCTCTTTATTGCCATTGTTTCATTGCCATTGGTTCATGTTCTTTGTGTGTGCATGAGTTGCTCTAATACAGATTTTCCTAGTTTCTGCTGGTAGCCTGGAGTTTGTTTCTTTTTTTTGCTGTTTATGAGCTGTGATGGATTTTAAAGGCTAGCATGGCTCTGATCTGCCTCAGCAGAAGGTAGTTGATGCATGTTCTAATGCAATTCTACTTTTATTTCAGATCTACCGGAGAAAATGTTCCAAATCCTCACAATACTGTTGCTGGAAACACAGATCTCCATGGTTTCAGGTAAGAGAGAAACTGCTTTTCAGTTCCACTAACAGAACTAATGCAGCTTTTAGTATGTGGGCTTCAGCACCTCCAGCAATTCTTGCATGAATGGTCAGTAATGTTTCCATGTTATAGAAGGCACAGGCACTGACTGAGCACAGGACAGGCGTCTGTCACTTTCCAGAGTCAGGGTTCTTTAACATATTGTGTATTGGCAGCTGAGATGTCCAGCATCAGTGGCATGGCTGTGAGAAGGAGAATGACCAAAGCAACCAATGCCCACTGGGAAGTGTGGGATGGCATAAAGTATAATCATTTGTGTTCCCCTGCCCATGCCTGTAGCAGAAGCAGCTCGGCTAAAACCCAGAAGGAGCTTGGCACTTTTTCATATAATTTTCTCCCTTGCTGCAGTTGCATGGACTTTTCTTCGCAGTGTCACTACCAACCCTTCCAAGTGCTCCTGAATTGTCTACCAATACACAGCACATCCAATATGAAAGTAGTAACAAAGTATATTGAATGAGGTATTAGAAATAGCCATATCAAGTTCACTTTAAAATAGCAACCTATTGATAACAATATTAATTTCAGATTGGGTGAATGGCTGAGATTATTTTGATATATTTTCTGTAATACTGTTGCACGTATCTGAGAAAATGCGTGAGATCAAATGATACTCACATGGTTCCAGGTTTGTGGAGACTGTAATTGCTACATAGCAATTTTGAGCTATACACATTTATCCAGTGCAACTCCGTTTAACAGGAACTACACTGGTATTCCTTTTTGTAAAGGATAGAGAAATTAGATTTACAATTTCCACAATTAATTGTTGCTTTTACTACAACCTTAGAACATGTAAGAGACCATATCAGAGTTTGATAAAAATGGTCCCTGTGTAACCACTGGCCTAGCCTTAAGTTACTCAAAAAATGCAAAAAAACCCCAAAAACAAACAAAACTCACCACCAAAAACTTGTTCACTCTGACCTCATCTTTCAGATTCCGTAATCAATACAGAATATAGATGATTTGCTATTATTACTATATGGTAAAAATATTAGTGTGAATATGAACAAAAAAATGCCTAAAACTTTTAGTCAAATCAGTAGCCATATACTCCTGACTGTGTGACACAGTTTTGCCCAACTTTAAAAAAAAATCAGTACATATTTTGATGAAACAAATGAAACTGTTCTCTTTTCCATACATAGCTTTATTTACAGTTGAAGTTCCTCAACAGCTCTACATTGCGGAGTATGGGAGCAACGTGACCATGGAATGCAGATTCCCTGTGAATGGCTCAGTGGATCTAAGACTTCTGACTGTTGTTTGGGAGCAGAAAAGGCAGGGCTTGTTGAAATCAAAAGAAGTGTACACATTCCGCAATGGGAACACACTCCATCCGTCTCAACATCCTGATTATGTAGGAAGAGCATCACTTCTGCACAGTGAACTGGAGCTGGGACGAGCCATCCTCCAGATCACCAATGTTAAGATCACAGATGCAGGATCATACCTTTGTCTCATTGACTACCAGGGCGTGGATTACAAGTACATTGCTTTGGAAGTAAGAGGTGAGTGGTTAAATTAATTGTAATTGTATACTCATTGAGATGTCTCTACTAAATTCCCACAGACTTGTAGAAATTGGTTAATCTGAAGGAATTTGTTGCTAGTTGTCCCACTAAGACTTTGTGCTCAGCCCCCAGCTGAACCAAAACAGTTGTCTTAGTGGTGGCTAGCATTTCAACAGCTGAGCTCCTCCCGGGGCACCTGCTGCAGGGGAGGGACACCATCTGTTGTCCTTCTGTCCTTCTTTCCACAGCCTTCTTCTCCAGTGCCACCACCTCCCTCCTCTCCTTTGATCCCCTTGTTGGGCCACCCTCTGGTCATTCCAAAAGGTTTCTCAGAGATGCTCTGATACACTTATGAATCCTGCTGCAATGACCCAAGTGGCAGGGGATTCCCCAGGTGACTGCATTTCCCAGAGCAAGGACATGTGATTTTCCGTGTCCACTGAAGCCAAATGGGCATTAGTAATAAACATATATGTTATGGAAAGTAAGACAGACTAGATCTTTGAAAGATTTTTGGTGTTTTCCACTAGTTGCATGGCTGTGTGATGCAAGGCAGCATTCATTTCCCACCCAGATATTTAAATAAAAGTATTTATCAAATGCAACATGGACACAGACATTCTTAAGACCCACATCATTTCCTATGAAAAGTCAATTTTTTTCTAATATGATGAAAATATTACACTGTTTATAAGCTACGGTAAAACAAACATGAAATCAGGCTTTCTGAAAATGGCATTTTCCAAAAGTGAAAATAAGAGTCCCATAAGATTCCACTTGTCTCTTCTGTCTTAATAAATCATAAATTTAGTGCCAACTGCTGCCCGGCATAAAGTACTGAAGTGTGTTCTTTTGCTGTATGCATGGTAGGGATTGAATAACCCATTTTGCATTGTTCTACAAAACATTCTTCATAATTTTAAATAAGTGTTCCACAGATATAACCAGAGACAATGCATAGGATTAAAAGAAAGCAGGGAAAGTGAAGTGGGAAAATCACTGTTATTGCATTCAACAATTTCACTCAACAACTTCTCATGCAGCATCTTACAAGAGAATAAATACTCAAGTAATGAGAATACCAGGTGAAGACAAGTTTGTTTTTATGTGCCAGTCAGAAGGCTTTCCTCTGGCAGAGGTTTTCTGGCAAAATGAGAACTTCAATCTCAGCGGATCTGCAAATACCACCTATACACTGACTGCAGATGGTCTCTACAATGTCACCAGCATCCTGACATTCAAACCAAATATGAGTGAGCACTACACGTGTGTCTTCTGGAATAAAGAACTGAATGGAGAAACTTCAGCTCACTTTTCCACTTTAGGTTCGTATGACCTTGAACTTGTTCATGGCACTGTTCATACATACATCATGTGCTATGCTCCATCACTGGAGTTCAGTTCCAGAAATCAGTGTAATATTGATTCTTGGTAAACTGAACAAGTCAGTATTATTTTTGTCTTTGAAGTCTCAGCTAGCTTCCACTCCAACAAACCAGTCTGTATTTTTCTGTATATTTTAATTTTAGAGTAGCTTTCTTTATTTTCCTGCCAATACAGAGGGAATTTTTTCAGCTGCATGGGCATCTTCCCTGATAGTCTCCTACTTAATTGTTCTGTCTAGCTGTCTACCTTGACTTCAGCAAGGCTTTTGACACTGTCACCCCTAATATCCTCATGGCTAAGCTCAGGAAATGTGGGTTAGATGAACAGGATCAAGAACTGGTAAATTACAGAGTCCATAAGGTCATGATCAGAGGAATAGAATCCAGATGGAAGCCTGCTATCAGTGGCATTCCCTAAGGATCAATACTGGGTCCAGTCTTATTCAATTTATCAACAACCCAGATAAAGGAATCAAAGGCACTCTCCACAGGTTTGCTGGTGACACTAAACTGAGTGCAGTGGCTGACCCACCTGAAAGCTCTGCTGCCATTCCACAGACCTTGATTAGCTGGAGGGCTGGGCAGAGAGAAATCTAGTGAGGTTGAATGGAGTCTAAGGTCCTGCACCTGGAGAGGAATTGCCTCATGTGCCAGCACAGGCTGGGGCTGACATCTGTGAAGTGGTTCTGCAGAGAAGGACCTAGGAGTCCTGGCACACAAAGAGCTCTCCATGAGCCAGCCAAGAAAGCTAATGGTATCCTGGGGCACATTAGGAAGGACATGGCCAGCAGGTTGAGGCAGATGAACCTGCCCCTTTACTCAGCAGTAGTGAGGCCACATCTGGAGTGCTGTGCCCAGTGCTGTGCCCAGTTCTGGGCTCCTCAGGACACGAGAGAGAGAAGGTACCGGAGAGGGTTCAGCAATGGCCACAAGGATGATGAGGGGTCTGAAGCATCTCTCTTATGAGGAGACACTGTTTAGTGTCTTCTTCTTGAAGAAGACTGAGAGGAGGTCTCATCAATATATAGAAATATTTCAAAGGCAGATGCCAATAGGATGGTGACAGACTCAAACGCCATACAAATGAAAGATTTGACTGGCTTTTTTAAAGGCTTTTCACAGTAATAATTCAGACCAAATTATTCGTATTATGAGTGTAAATCACTATGTTGATAAATTTTAAAAATCCTTTGTTCAGTCAGTGCAAGACTTTGGAGAAACAGAACCAATAACTTGATAAACAATGCCTGTTTTGTAAGTTATAAATTTACTCTCCTTTAATGTTTTTAACAGCTTTAATGAGTACACAGTATAGTGGACAAAAATTCCTGATCTCTTTAATCATCCCCACATGTGTGACTGTAGCTGTCCTTCTCTCTGCATTAATAGTATTTCAGAAGAGAAAATCATTCAAGAATGAGCAACCCAAAAAAGGTACATTTTACTTCAGATGGTGAAACCTTTCACTATTTCTTTACTTTTTCCTGTGAACAACCTTGAGGAAATTTCAATAAGGCACACTTGCATTACTTCAGTCACATTTTTTTTCTAGATGACAAGAGGGTAGAATATGAGATCTTGGATAATTGGAGTTGGGTTTTATTTTCCTCACTGTGTTAGGTATGTGAGACAAGGTGTATGGAAAGATACATTTTTTAAGCTGACCAGTTACAGCTGATTCTGTACAGAGCACAAACTTTGCCTTGCATGAGGACTATAAAAGCATAGTTTGAACAGTGTTTTCTTCATAGCTACAAAGACACTGTGGCTACAGTATATTACACAGAACCTTTATTTTTCAACTCCATTATGGCTCTGCAACTAAAATGGTGTGATACAGGACTATTGCAGTATTTCCTTCCTTGTGTGCATGTGCAGTAGTACAAAACTAATAAAGCAAACAGACTGTTATTCTAGTGTTTTCTTGCACATGAACAGACTCTAGTAAACCAGACTATATGTATTTATAGTCATGAAAGGAGAGTCTTAACATTATGACTTCAGAATTTGATTCAAGTTTTGTAAAGTTTTTTATTCAAGTTTTGTAAAAGAAATGTAGAGAAGTTTATTTATTTGGTATGATTTAATAACAACTGCGCTTACAGCTCAGTTTAAAGATTTGTTGAATAGTTATAGTTACAATATAGTTTCTTTCAAATCTAGAAATTTTTATGCTAATTTTGTATATATTTACTTTAACAGGCAGGAAAAGAAAACTGAACCCTAATGCAAAGGATGAGAAAAGTAAGTCATAGGCAATTTTTAAAATTTACATTTACAGATTTTTCTTTCTTACATCTAAAATCTTAAAAAGTATGTAGATTGAAACCTAAATAATGTTACATCAGAATAGAGGGTACTTTTGAGTTTAAATTCTTTCATTCTTCAGTTTTTAAAAATGCAGTTTCTAAAGTTTTGACTTTCTCTTGGGCAATGTAAAAATTTATAAATATTGGTTCCCTTTCACTGAGGTACCAGTACCTTTCATATACAACTCAGCACACACCTCTGTATACTAGCTGGGGTTCTAGTCTTGGCTGAGAAGGATACTCACAGAAAGCTGGTTGTTTTGGATAGCATCAAGATTTGTGGCAATAGTCTTATACTTTTAGATCAGGCTACAGGTTTTAACAACAAATGAAATGATACCTCATTTATCTAGAATATTATATCATCTCCTAGGCTACTTCTTGTCTTATGAGAATCTGACTTGCTGAGACATCCAGAAATTTGTACATTTCAGAGGGAAGACAATACCTAAAAAACTGTCAGGATGTATCTAACTGTTCCATACTAAAACTGAACTGAGAAAAAAAAAGATATGACCACAGAAAAACCATAAATCAATATGACAAGTAAAGTCTTAATATACCTACTGACATAAATCAATTTTGTTAGCTAGAGATAACAGTTTGACAGGCTAATGCACTGTGAGGTGAGAGGCTGTGGCCAGTGTTAGGTACAGAGGTACTTGGTTCAGCTGTAATTCCCTTGGTGTCAGAGCAGACCCTCACACAGTGTATTGAGGTCAGCCCTGAGGCTGCCAAGGAGGACAAATGGAGTAATACTGTGATGCAGCTAACCAAGTGAACACAGAGACAACTTAGGGCTTTTCCAAGTACAGGATTTTTTTGAGAATCCACCCATATTTCTCACTGCTAAAAAAAATACATTAAGAAGTCATCAGCTTAAATAATAAATTTTGTAGTTGAAATGTAGAGATTGGATGAAGAGGGCATGAATTCACTGATTTCCAAATCACCTCAGGTTGTCATGTGTGCATCTTAACTGTACGCATTTGATCCACTGCCATCAGTAGATATTACAATTGAAACAACACTTTCAGAAAGACACCTTCACCTTTCAGAAACCTTGCTGCAGGCAAAGTCTCATTCTTATTTTTCATGTGATAGTGTGAAACTTTAGTGGCATCATGCCATGCACTAATGAACACAAGCTCAAGGCAAGCAGCATTCTGGAGAACAGCGTTGGTGCATGTCTGGACATCATTCCAGGGCTTATTGTCTGAGCATAGCTTGGCTTCCCCTGGCTTTTTGTATTACTTTTGCATTTTTCCCCTTTGTAGCCTTTTCTGTGCACTTAGTGAAATGAAGAAATTAAAGGAGACAAGGCCATTCTTTGTGGTTTTACTTCTTCATTTTAATGACAAAAAACTTTGTCTTACTTGCAACATGCAGTAAGTCAGATGACAAACATTTATATTTCTCAGCACTGGATGTTTTTAAGAAACCCTGGAAAGAACCTTTTTTCCATGATGAGTAGGTAGTTGAAGCATAAAGCCACAGATACTTTACCACAGTGCCTTGGAAATGACCCATACAGTCCTGGTTACAGTAACAAGGACTGTTAATGTTACCAGCTTTAACTAACAGCTCAAGCTATATCAGAACTGAATATAAAGGACACTTAAACTCATCACTGAAGTCCCAGTTCTGCACACTTTTAATCACATGCACATATTTACTGACAATCATTACCATGGATGCTCTCTAAACAGATTTCAGTTTTGTTATTTCATTTAAAAGGCTGAAAATGAGTGATAGCTTTGTTGTAATAGAAAACTCAGAATTTGGACTACAGATGAAAGACATAATTCTTTCCTCAGAAAAGATTACAGTAGATGTTCTTGTAAATTATAACAGCTTGAAGGAGCCATTGTAACTTCAGCACGATAGTCTCCTGACAACCAGGAGACTGAGCTTTCACTCTTTATCACTTAGTTGTTAAAATCAGGCTTTTTATTCTTAAATCACTGCAGATTTTTAAACTAATACTATTGCATTTTCTTTCTTTAAGGTGATGATTTTAACTCTCAGACTGAGGCTTTATACTTGTCAACTGCCACAGCTTCAAGAGACAGTGGGAGTGTGGGTCTGTGAAAGTTCTTCATCTACATTCCATAATTTGCACTTTTCCCATCAGTTTTTGGGGACTTCAAAGAAAAATTACAGCACTTTAGCCTTAGGATAGAAAGTGGACTAATGGGGATGTATTTACACTGCTGCGATGGAAAGCTCTGCCTCCTCAGATACTATATCTTCTTGAAGTTACTGAGAACTATGCTGTCACGAAATGTGGTTTACCACTGTGGAGAGGTCAGCTGAGTGCATCTGATACACTTTACTTTTGGCCTTACTGTTGCTCAAGGGATTTTTCTTTAAGAATGCCTTTATCAACTGTTCCAGTCTCAGGAATGGTGCTTGGAGTAAAAAACTTGTGGAATTTAAATAAAAGCTGTAAATGCTACCTTATGTCAATTATCTTTCTGGTGGAAACATCATCACAAGCCCATATCCCAATTCCAAATTTTCTAACACAATAAACTGCATATTACCAGAAGTATCCTCTCGCATCATTGTATGCACTTGTATAGAATTTGTATCATTGCAACAGTTAGAAGATATTTCATATCACAAGAGCAATAAGAGGTTGAAATTAAATCAAAGGATAAATAAATAAAAAAAACCAAACCAACCCAATACTAGCAATACGTCAACGTTATGTTGCATGAGAATTTTAACATCTATATAAAACCTCACAAGTAAGTCCGCTAAAAAAATATGAACATAAAAAGTTTCAAATTTGAACTGATTATTCAACAGAATTTTCTTTAGGAGGAATTTGGAAGCAAAAGTGAAAATGAAGCTCAGATAGATTTCTGCACTGGTTATTTTTAAACAGTAATTTTGCCTTTGTTCAGATGAAGAAGTGAGTCTTTTCCATGTCAGGCTGCTTTTCTTCCTAATACTGGAATGCCAGATTTGGGAAAACATCCAAAATGAAACACCTTTTCCTCTTAGTCAGTCATGCGATAGTGAAGCAAGGGCACTGGGTAAGATCTGTCATATTGTGTTGAAAGACCAGTGGCTTTGGTAAGCTGTGTTTTCTACTAAAATAGATGTAACAAGATTGAAGAAAGGTGTTCACATGGAAGCCACTTCTGCTATGACCTTGCTCTTAGAAGAATTCCACTGATAGAAGTTTTTGCATAGCACTTGCTCTGAATTTGGATGGGAACTGCTTCTCCAGTGTCACTCTGCAGCTATTTATTCCAGCAAAAAGTGGACCTACAGTGCTGCTATGAGACCAGAACATCAGACTCTCTCTTGCTTCACCAGGACAGGTGGTTTTAAAAAGCAAGACTGCCATTGATTTTACTTTGGAGGAGAAAAACTAATCTCTCTCTGACATCATCTGTAATTTAATATCTATGTATTGCACATTTAATTACCCATTTGTAGCCAATTTCAGCTGGCTTCAGTGGATTCAGCTGAGACAAATCCAAACTAGGCTTGCGATGTCCTATGTCCTTGCTGACATGGCAAATCTGGCACATGTCAGAGAATCAGAGGCAGCTTCTTAAAGCATTGGTTAGCTTAATATGGAATAGCAGCTTGGGAACTGCCCTGGCTTGCACCATTTGGCAATATTTAAGAGTCAATACATAAGGTCAAGCAATTTCTCTCTGTTCCAGATTTGTACTCTGCTGGGAACTATGAGCCCTTGCTCTTCTGTCAGCCGTGGTGAAATCTAACCCACTGTATTCCTGGAAAGAGTTAATTATGCATTTTTCTGTTTATTTTTTCCTCATGAAAATGAAATCAAAGTAATAAAAATGAATTTATGTGGATGGACATAAATACTACACTGCAGTCTTTGCAATTAGTGATTATCATTGTTCCTTGCTGAAATGAAAGTCATCTTGTCATTACTTTATACTGGTGAGTAAATGCTGTCTTGGTGTGAGCAGCAAAGAACAAGTGTGGGTAGCACTTCCTGCCCATTTTTCAGGCAAGGCAAACACTGCCCTGCTTTCCCTCTTACTGGATTGTACACTGAAAGGTTTCACCTGGCATCCCTAGGCAGAGGCAGCTCAGCTTTCCACAACACTCCTATGACCTATCCACTCTATTTCATTATGAATGGAACAATAGCACTGTTTACTGCAATAACTATAAGAATACCTAGAAAAGCATTTTGGCTCATGAGTTTCTATTTTCACCAGCTTTCGCTGGATGCTTATGAAGCTGACTGTCACATCTGAGTATGTGAAAGTTACCTTGTCAGCAGCTTGGCAGTCTGTATATGTCTATGAGTTCATGCAAGACTTGTCTTTTACTGTAAATCACTGAGCATATGATACACGTGTGACATGATCAGTCTCTGTTCTTTCTGCTTCACCTACTGTTTTACATGCTGTTATCCCCAAACAGCTGAAGTGAGTTCTCACATACACACTGCCTGCAAAATGTTTGAAGGGTTTGTGTTCTGTTTGTCTGTGGTGTCCTCTCTGTGGTTTTTGTTGTTGTTGTTTTGTTTGTTTGTTGAGTTTTTTAAAAAAAATTTGGTTGTTGTGGTTTTTGTTTGTTTGGTGTTGTTGTTTTTTTTTTTTTTTTATAGTTTTGAACTTCACCGTGAGTCATGATGTTGTTAGACCATAAAACTATTAGGTATTTTTAAAGTTTGACTTAATTGTACTGTCATCTGACATTTTTGAACGGCAGAGAGGATACCTTGCATAATAAGAAACTGTTACCCTTTCTGATATACACAGCCCCTATTCATCTCCATACATTTTTCTCAACTAGGTGCATGTCATAAGCAATAGCATCTTAGTGTACTGGAAAAAGGTAGGGGTTCAGCTGAAGTCGGTGGAATGTTTGTGAAAACATGTGCAAAGAATTTATTCAGTTGTTTATAGTCACCTAAAACATAGCTCACTGAACTTTAATGATGACCATTTTTCACAAGCAAGTAGAGAGTTTGTTGTCAGTATTGAATTTTTCTGGTATGGCTAAGGAAAATCTACTTTTCCAATCCACTGACCTGCTTTACTATGTATGAGTGAGGTACATGCCATTTTAGCACAGGACCAAATGGCAAACAGGGTGATTAGTCTTTCTGTTAATTCCTCACCTCTGCTATCGACCAGAGATTTTAAGGGCTTACTTCAGCTTTTCAACAACCACAACATTTTCAGTAGCTGTGAACTGCAGCTTGATCTGTGATTAAGAGCATAGAGCAGAATAAGATTAGCTGTTTGTACCAAGTTCACTTTCATACTGGCAGCAGCCTAAACTCCTACTATTTTCTTGATTCCCGTTACCACAGACATGTCTGAAAGCAACTGCTAACATCAAGAAGGTTAATATCTCTGGAAGAAGACTGAAGCAGAAGAGATATTCTAGTAGCCAATTGAAATGCCTTACAAGACTTAAGTCTGCATCCTAGAAAACCAGCAGCTGATTCTGACTATGGGAGCAATTGGAAATGCCTTTTAGAATTTTGGACATCAAGAAACCCCTATTCTTTCTTAAGAAATACTGCAGTCATCTTTTCTTAGAGAATTTCTTTCATCTGACAGAACATACAGTTTACCACCAAAACCAATACTTACCTACTCCACAAAATAATTACAGAGATAGGTTTTACAAACCACCTCTATACAGTGAGGGTCACTGTTACAGGAATAAGTCCAACTTGTCTTTTCCTTCTGTGGGGATGGGGATCAACTAAGCAATCTTAGAAGTCCCTTCTAACCCAAAATGACCTTTGACTGTAAACTTGTTACTCAAATTACCTTCCACATCCTTTGTAATTATCTGATTTTTCTTTTACTCTGATGAACACGTGGCCTTAAATATAGCCTTAGATCAATGACTACGATGTGGTTCAACAAGATATCCTGGTTCTCCTCACCATATGTCAAGCATGCTGTATAATACTTTTTTATAGCCAGTGCTTGTTAATATTTCACTCAAACTCAATACACAGTAAAAAGTAGCTGAAACAGGTAAGTGCACCGTACAAATACTGTTAAAAACTGACTTTAATGAACTACTGAGTTCACTTCTGGGTTTATTTTCAATGCAATTTTCAGCAGCTAATGTTTGTTTACTCACAAGCACATTTCCTTAATGGGCTTTTCCAAGTGAGAAGTGAAACATCTTTTATGCAAAGTCTGTGTTAGAAACCACTTTACATAAAGAATGATGCAGTAGAAATTTGCACAGTGGGCTTAAGCTCATTCCTTACAGGTGTTTTTCAGGCAGTAGGGTGAGCTGATTACCTGAGTCTCTGCTGGTGAAGGTGGCGCTTTCACTGGTGAGGGGAGGAACCTATCTAGTAAGAAATCTGGCATTCTAATCACAACATTGCTAGCAAGAGGATTTCTGTGCTACTGGACAACAGTATTTGTGTAGGAAATTAACCTTTTTCGGGTGATACGATGAACATAATCCTTACAGAAGTAAAATAGATAATTGTCAGTCTTAACTATGCAAACCTGGTGAAACAGAGGCTAGTATCAGTGAATAGATGTACAAACTTGAGAAAGTCACTAAGAAAGGAGAAGCTGTTGGTAAGAATAGGGAACAGGAGAAGGTCAACTTTTTATTTTTCAAGAGGGACACAGAATGTTTGTGAAAATAATAAAGTCAGATGAAGCACTGTGAGTTCAAAGAACTTCCCAGTTCATCTAAGTTATAACTGCTGAGCCATGCTTCTGTCCAACCCCAAAATATTGCAGTCCTAGTGCACAGATCTCCCTCAGACTGGTAAGAAAACTGAGAAAGCAAGACAGCTTTCTGAAAAATTTATAGAGCAGAAGCAATATTTTATACCTCCAAGCAAAGTCTTTGATTTTCTCTGTGTTTGCCATGCATGCACTTTATGCTCCTAAAGAGTTGTGAAGTAAAATGCAAGAGAGTAGACCTTGCTGAGATTCTGGGGAAGATGTCAGGGGTTAGAGCCTGCTTCTGGTCTAGTTAAATGCTCAAAACCAGGCACAGAATCTAATTCACCAAGCCTAAGAGACGAAGAATCTGGTGAATTCCCATCTGTGAAGCTTATTTAAATGAAATTTCACAGAGATGGATGAAAATTAGTATATGTTGTGACTTGGAATGATTTTTACCGTCCCATACATTTTTCTCTTAATATAGGTTTAACTTCAGAAGAGACTACTCACTCCATTGTTTTAATTGCCACTATCTTAGAGTGTATGAAGAACTGTTTGTGTCCTTTATAAAAAGTCTCAAAATTCTTTTCCACAGAGATGTTCAGTTTTCCAAAACTAAAACTGCTTTGTCAACTGCTGCAAGAGGACAGAAGGTTAGAGCCCCTGTCCTCCTAGAACCTCCACTGGAGGAAGTTGGGTTGGGTACTCCCAGGATTTCCACAACGCTGAGTTGTACAATTGTATCCGAGACTGTTGCAGTGTGTGGCAATTTCCTGTTTTATCTCCCAGTCCCTTCCCAGGTGTGGCAATACCTCTCTCCCTTCCCCCTCACCCCCTCGCTTAGTGAGTTCTGTCAATCAGGCTTAACATTCCAGCAAGGCTTCGTGAGGTTGGTCAAGTTCAAAGGATGCCCTTCAGGCCTGGGGTCATTGGCCTGTCTAGGTGTCCCTTGTTCCCTGACACCCTCCTCCTCCCACCTGGTTGGTGCTCACCTGTCCCTGTCCCTCCCCCTGTCCCTGGGCTTAAATTGAGCCAGGACCACGTGCTTGGTATTCTGTTGGAGCTGTTACCATGATTCAGACATCTGTGACCATGGAGTGAAACTCTGGATATTAACTCCGGCAGAATCCGTCTCCTTTTCCTCCTCACCCTAGCCTGAAGCCCTTCCACCTGAGGTAAACTGAGTTTCTACAAGCCTGGGTTTGTTTCAGTGCCCAGCTGCAACACCCAGCCAGCCAAAAGTGTCTCTGAGATGAAATACCACAGTTGCCGCCTTTGGCCTAGCAGCAAGGGTCAGACCATCTCAGGCATATTCTACCTGGAAATATTGGGATCCTATTCCAATACGAGACTGCAAAGAGATGGGTGAAAACAGTCCAAGGCTGGGAAGCATTTTCTTTTCTTCAGCCAAGGCAGACTTGAACAAGACATACTGTGGAAGCCAGTTCAGGGCACAGGCCAACTCTGCTCACAGATAGTCACTGCCGACTGTCTGGTCTCTAATACCGCAGACATCACTATTCTGGAAGCCATACCGTGCACTAGGATAATGTAACACTCCTAGTGCTTCAAGGTGACTGGTTATTTTCTAAAACCAGTTTAGTTGTGAATTTGGCCTGACAGGAGAATTGCTCATGGGTAGAAGCTAAAAGTTTCTTGACTCAAATATGGAAAGCTGTGAAGAATGATAGGAAGTGATGACAAAAATCAACCAGACAGACAGGATCCCAGGACCATGGATAAAAGGCCAAGGATATTCTCCAGTCAAAGGTTATCATCTATGCATCTGTTGCGTGCTGGGTATTGATACAAGTCATGCATCTTTTGTTGATATACATGTTTTGAGCTTCATTCGTTAACTGATATGCCTCAGGTACTGCAGCAGAATGCTCTGTATTGGGTATTGCCCACTCTGTCCCAGAGTGGACAATACCCAGCTTGAACAATACCCTATTTGAACAACTCACCAGCAATGGATGGAGGAGAGGGTGCACACTGCTTTTGCTATTGCAGAATGCTGAAACTAGCCTGACTCATCAATTCTGAACTTTAAACATTCTAGGGAAAAACAATGTTTCCTGGCAAACTGGCTATGATGATACAAGGGTCCTAATAAAGGAATCAGTTATATTACTGGTAACTTATCTAAAGTTGCTGACCTGACACAGCTCGCCTAGAGACATTTGCCTGATAGTCACTTTACCCTATAAAACCCAGTCTGCTTTCATTAAGCGTCTGCCCAAGAGCAGGCCATACAGCCTACCATCACAGTACTACATTTATTTGAAATTTGGGAAACAGTTGCAGGTAAAAGTAGCAGGAAAGTAGCTGACTATGTTTCTGAAAAAGAGAGAGTAATTACATTGAGAACTCAGATGACTGCTCTCAGAAGCAATAAGATTTGGCCCCATTTTCTATCTTTGGTGTGAGTTCTCCTAAGAAGACCTGAGAAAGGGACTACTTTTTTGTACTGAATCTTGCTATTTGTCATCTGATCTATTTCACAAGAAGTAAGAATTTCCTTAGAAAGGGATTTAATTAGCTGACTCCGTGTTTCTTAAGTGGAGCAGCAATATCTCCCATCTGAGAATCTAGAAATGTTTTCCAAATGTATTTTACTGATGGAGAAGGTAAGTATGTACCTTAATAAAAGCGGACGGAAGGAGATCAAAGAAATAAGTGTCACATCTCTGAAGTTTCATTACAATCTTCAGGTAACTAGTTTTACAATCCTTGCAAGGTAAACTGTCAGTGAGCTTCAAGAGCAGGGCTGCCCCATGAGGGGCTATGAGCCAGGAACAGAGGGCAACCTCAGCACCACATCCTCCCCAGCAAGGCTTGA